CCCTCCAACAGCTTTCCTCAGGGGTCACCGCGCAGCCCCTTGGGAGGGTCCCAAGGAAGGCAGCTGAATGTCGATGCACCACAGCCGCGAGTACAGCTGTAGAAAAATACAGTTGCGGTTACTTGTTTGTGAAGTAGGCGATGAAAACATCCAGAATTCTTTCTCTTGCAGATTTATAACAAGCACAGTCTGTGCTTTGTCAGGACTCAGTTCACAGTCTCCATGTTGTCCTACATAGATGGAACTGATCTGAGAAGAAGCTGGGGACATTCTGTTTGGGCTCTGCATTTCCAGTAAGCTTTTGACCCTGAAAAAGGCAGGCGTGTATCCTCCGAGAAGCAGAGAGGTACAGACTAAATGGATCTAAAGACAGCAGTATTCAACGCAGCTCGTGATGGCAAACTGCGGCTTCTTTCCAAGTTACTGGCAAGCAAAACAAGAGAAGAGGTTGCTCTGCTGATGTCAGAGAAAACCAATGGTGCCACACCACTTCTGATGGCAGCCCGTTATGGTCACCTTGACATGGTGGAATACTTGTTGGACCATTGCTCTGCGTCGATAGAAGTTGGTGGTTCGGTGAATTTTGATGGTGAGACCATTGAGGGGGCTCCACCATTGTGGGCAGCATCGGCAGCTGGCCACTTGAAGGTGGTTCAGTGTCTGTTAGATCATGGTGCATCTGTCAACAATACAACTCTGACAAATTCAACGCCGCTTAGAGCTGCCTGTTTTGATGGTCACCTGGAAATAGTAAAATATCTTGTGGAGCATAAAGCAGACCTGGAAGTATCAAACCGTCATGGGCATACATGCTTGATGATCTCATGTTACAAAGGCCACAAAGAAATTGCTCAGTATTTACTTGAAAAAGGAGCTGATGTCAACATTTTTTTAAAGGTAAGTTAATTTTTTCACTTTCCTTGTGGTAAATAGGGGTAAAGTTACTCATTTACCCTTCTTTAGCAGGCTGACACCCAAAAATATTTTTCTAGTTTTATGAAGTGGATGAGTAAGGGATAAAGTGTATTTAGCTCTGTTTTTACTGCTTTTTTTTTCAATGTACTGCTTTGTTAACACAGGTTGTGTAATTTAATTCTGAATTGATACATTTTAATCCTAAATCCCTAATTCTTGAAAAGACTTAGTCATGAAATGTCACATTTATGTGTGTGCGAGAAGCTAATAAACTTGCTGAGAACTCCTGTTTGTAGTAGGTTAGTGTAGCAACATATTCAAATATATGACCGTATATTCTTGTTTTTCATAGTGTCTTAACAAGCCAAATACGCTGTGCATAAAGCTGATCTGTGCCAATAAGGCTAGTACAAGGAAAGATGCATAAAGGAGAAATACTGTGTTCTGCACTGGAAATTAATAACCACTTTGCACTTCACCCTTCTTTCCCTCCAAATTCTTGAATAATTTTGGACCTTTATTCAGTGTTAGTAAACTAAAACATATATTAGGATTAAAGAAATGAAGCTGCAGGTGACTGTGATTCCAACAGAAGGACTTCCAGTGGTGCACAGATCGCAAAGGCGCCTCTTTGCCCCTGTTTACGATTACCCTAGTGTTATCATTCAAAGTGAAGATTTCTGTTATTTTTGCTGTGATCATAATTATGTGGACCTCTAGGTTTAAGCACTGCGTTTTTCATTACGTCTCAAACTTGTATGTGAGTGTGATATTTGCCTGAAAAGCATACCAATTATTGCAGGTTACAGTTAATTTTTAGCTCACTGAGCCAGGATTGTGTTTCAGCAGCTTACTGCTAATAAACCTTTTTGTAGCCTAATACTTCCACTGCCTGTTTCAGGCTACTTAGATTTGGAACAGTATACTATACCTTACAGTTATTTCTGTTAAAGTATACTTTGTGTCTAGGTTGTTGTATGATACTGGTAAATGCCAAATATGAGAGTAATCTTTGGAAAAGCTGTTCAGTTAAATATGCCTTTTTTTCAGCAAATCATGCAGATATGTGGGTTTAATGTAAAGAAAGCTAAACTACAGATTTGTCATAGAGGTGGGAAGAGCACAATAAATCTTCCTTTGTAAGGATTTAAGGGTGCTTATGAATCATCATGGACTGGTGATAGGATAAAAATGTCATTTTTCTAGACGGGGTTCTTGGAGTAATGAGCTAAATGTAAAGTGTGTGTTGTTTTTTAGTTTTAAACCTGTCCCTTTGTATGATAGGTATGAACAGAGCAGTGCTGTTAAATACCTGACGTAACAGGGAAAAAGATGTATCTCTGCAGCTCTTTTCCGTCCTCATTTTGTGTTAGTGGAGTAGGCTTTACTTTACTGGTCCTTATTATTCACTTTACTGGTGCATTATTGTCTTTGTTTATTGTCATATTTGTCTTTGTTTAAATGACTGAGTGACAGCCACACACTCCTGAGGATTTTCTCAGGGCTCTCAGTTTCTCTGTTACCTTAATTCCTTCCTCTCTCTGCTTGCTTTAGTTCTTGTGACTCACAGCTAGGCACATGAGCAAAGGTTCATAAGGTATAACTGATCCTTATTTAAATTAAATTTAAAAAAAAGTTGGATATGTTTTAGCTCCTTAAAGTTAATTTCATAGTTTGAACTGTCATGTGTACAAATGGATGTGTGCACATAATAGATATCTGTTGGTCAAGTATGTGGAATACGTTTTTGTATGTGGAAATCCCCTCTGATGTGATGTGAGCAACTTTTTGACATCTTTAAGCAGTCTTATTTCTGAAGTTATTTAATAAGCAGCAGTGAGGTAAAGCAAGAGAAAAAGAAAGTACTATAAACCCTGAAAGTGAAAGTCAGCTGTGGTGGTAGCCCTAAATATTGCAACAGTATGAGCCTTGCAGTGGCTGAGGCTCAACAACTACATTTCTCAAATTTTTTTTGCAAGAATGCTCAGTACCTATTAATTTCAAAATTGGTATTTCCAACAGGATTCATTCTACATTGTCATGTTCCACCTCAAAGTCTCTGTGTATTTTCAGTTTTTACTCCTCCCTGCTGTGTACTAAACAGCTGACTGTGTCTGCGTTAGTAGTAGGGAGACAGAGAGAACCTGACTGCTCTGCTCTTGCGTAGTAAAAGTTGTTCTTATCCTTGTACCTGAATTCTTTTTAGATAGACCCCTTCCTGGACCATATACGGAGAAGCCAACTGTTCTGTGAAAGATGTAAAAGCTTCAACTACTGCAGATTTTACTGCATTTAAAATAACAATGGTCCTTATAAGAACAAAACTATGTAACTTCAGTAGAGGTGCTGTTGTGTGAGATTACTATAGATTATTTTCCAGATTTTATTCTTAAAATCAGAGTGGGAGATGCAGAATTACTTGACCTATTCTTTGGGTTTTTCCACTGGATTTTCATACTTCAAGGTAGAACTTTATTCACTTTTTACAACCCAGGAGAATCTAGAGCTGGGAAAGATATGAAAATGTTTTGAAGTGTTGACAGTTCCAGGGAAAAATCCAAATGCTTTGAGATGAGAAAATAGGTAAATTCACAGGCATCTGAAAGTCTGGGTGACAACTGAGGTGGAGAGGTGAGAGCATGTAGTGAAGTCCTACTTTGGAAATACAGGCAGAATCCTGCGAATGTGTCTTGGACTACAGAAATTCAGAATGCAAATGTTCTTGAAAGACAGTTGCAAAAGTGCAAAAGTACAGCTAGGAAAGTGTTCATAAAGACTTCAGAGTACACAGAGGTAAAGTGTAGGTCTGGCACTGTCACAGGACACAGTGGTGAAGGTGAAGGAGGAGGTAACAAAATGTTTGGGGTGGCTAAGTGCTATACTGTGAAAGATGGCCAATGGTTGTAAATTTAAAGTACGAGCCTTTAGTTGTCTTTGTTTCTGCTGTGTGGCAGATCTGAACTTCCACAGTTTCCTCAAAATTTTATGAAGCACATAGGCAATAGAAATGTAAACAAAGGATTTTTTAAAAAATGTTTTATGTTACATGAACAGTCTTAGTGAGGGGGGAAAAACTGATACCTGAAGTAAGAAGGGTGTGTTTTTTTTTTTTTCTTTTAGAATTGTGGAAAACAGCAAAGATACCTGTAGATATATTTATTTATTTATTTTAAGAAAAGCAAAAGGCAGCCAAAGCAGCACTTCCAAAGTGCATTAATTCACCACTGTCTTCCTAATTCAGAGGCTTCTCCAGTATATTACTCCTGGTTTAAGAAGATGCAGATTAAAAACAACGAAGCTTAATAAGTTTCACTGATATGTAATATCATCTCAAATGGCTAGTTGGATTTTTTTTTTTTTACCCCCAAAAACCCCCCGCTCTTAAAGACCTTAAAGCTTTTAAAAGGAGGAACGGTGTGGATAATGCTAGAGTAGCAGAAACCTGAGTTTTTTCAGGAGGAGGTAGAACCCTAGACTTAAACCTCAAGTGAAGCACAGACCTACCTTTGTGCTGGATGAAGAGGATGTTCTGTCTGTCAGCTGCACGCAGTTTTCTGTTCTGCTGCATTGCAAAGCCTGCCAGTGATCTGTTGTTATGGTGGTGCTCCCTTACCATGTTCAGAATAGACCTCTGGGTTCTTGAATATAGTGTTTCACTGACATGTTTCTGTGCACAGTCTTCATTTAGCTCCTATGTGTAGGGAGGGAAATGCTTACTCTTGTAATTCAAGTGGTAGCGGTCTTTGGGCCTTCACATGATAGATCTGGGCTCTCTTGGGGATATACCTGGGGCTGTGTTTGTTGGATTTTATATTTAAAATAAAATATTTCATATAATTGCCCCAATAAAATTATTTTGCATGCAGACTGTTTTAAAGCGATCTTCTACTTCTGTTCTGACTCCAAACGGGACACTTAGATCTTCCACTTCGAAAATTTGTAATGTGTGTTTTGATAATTTGTGTTATGCTTTATCCTGCTCCACCAGGCTTGCTGCAATAATGGAGATTCATTCCCTTCCTTTCTGCAATTAAATTATAGATAAATACACGTGCTGATAGCCAGGATGGTCTGGATGTAATGGCACAAGGAATAAGGACACTCTTCCAAAATATCTACTTGAAAGTCAGATATTTTTTCTGAACGTGGCTTGTAAGTCTTTCCATTGCTCAGCTGCTTGGTATATGGTCTCCTCTTCAAGGTGTTATTCATGGTTTTTACTAGTAGTCTTCACTATCTCTGTCCATCTTCTGTATTAGCAGACTCATCTGCTAGCCAAAAGACTAATTTTTCTCCTTCTAAGTATTAGAAAATTTCGTAAGAACTGCTGGACTAGGCATTCTTTTAGGTGTCTCTTGAGATTTGCGCAAGAATGTTTGGTTGTAAGCCCTGATTCTTTGTCATTTATGATCCTCAATACTACTGTAGCAGTTGGAGGAACCCGCTTGTTTTGAAAATGCATATTAACACTATGATTCAAAATCTTGTTGTTCTTAAATTCCACTGGCACAGTATTTGATTAGAATAGCTTTGTAAAATAATATGGAGGATGCGGCTTGTTGCCTTTGCTTCCTCATTTTGGAAAGTATAGAAGCATACAGACCTCAGTCTGTATGGGTACTGTGTCAAGATTACACATATACATATCAAGGGGTAGTGCTATTAGCGTATTGTCATTTATGTGGGGTGCTGCAAAATGTAACACTCAAACCTGCTGGTAAGGGGAAAAAAAATCTTTCACAGACTTGGCAGACCCAGAAACCAGGGGTATTAGAAAGATTCACCCTCTTTGCTCTGTGGTCAGTGTGGTTTAATATGTGTTAAAAGTAATTAATTTTCTCTTGCAGTAAACGTTAAGGAGTCTGACAGGTTTGTTCTCTTCTGAGGTTGTTTGTCTTGTCTGCTTGCCAAGCTTCATTTTTTGGGGGTGGGGGATGACAGATGGACGAACGAAACAAAAAACCAAAGC